AAACATGAATACGTAAACCAGTAGCGAACACCAAACCAGGCAAACATAACATCGGGTTCACAATAATCAAACCATAATAAATTAAACAGTGAATCATGCATACGAAGCCACAGAATAAACAAATCAGATATTACACTGCATTTAGACTATAAAATAGATTAAACAGGAACTGACCGAAAAACATATCAGATTCGGACTCCATTAGTAACCTTAATTAATTATACATATCCATGAATTCATAAAATATCATTTTATCATTTATTAGACTTTAATACCGTGATAGGAAATAGGGTGAGAGATCCTTACTTGTTTCGGAGTTTGAAACCGGATTCTCATTGCACCTACGGACAGTCCCTCTATTCTCTAAATTTTTTTTCGAAAACTGAAATACACTTCCGGTACTTGCACATGTCCCCAAAAAACTCCAAATCAGACCCAAAGCCTCTTCGGCCAATTTCAGAATTCCGGCATGGCGGCTCCGCCGTGCTCCAGCAACGACACCGCCGTTTGTGGCGGCGATCTGCCTCGGGTTGGCCATTTTTAGCCGAATTCGGTCAAACTTGCATTGGTTCCTGTGATAAAACACACATAAGACCCTCAGTGGGCCGAAAAAACTCAAAAAATCGAGACTTACCGGCGGCGGAGCTCTCGGGTGCAGCGGCTCTTCTGGCGCGAGTCGTGATTTGGTGTTTTGCTCCAGTCAACCTGTAGAGAAAAGGACGGTGGTCACAGTAGTATAAAAATTACATCGAACGGGAAACGGAAAGGGCCTCATCGGAGGAAAAAACTGAAAAAACTCGCGGCGGTGCCACTGGACTTCGGCGGCATTTTTCGGCCAATTGGACGGTGGTTTAGCTTCGATTTGGCCACAGGGGGTTCAGCATCGAAATTCGAGCCAAGGGGAGAAATTTTACCTCGTTTGGCTGCTGGAAAGTGCCCCGGTGTGGCGACAGTCGGTTCCTCCGGTGGCTGGGCTGTTTTCTCCGGCAAGAGTTTGGGGTTGGGTGTGGATGAGATTATTTATAACTATTCCCTTTTAATCTGAGCCGTCCATCACGATTTTATCTGCACCGTCCAATCACGATTAAATTAGAAATGAATCTTAACCGTCCATCGCGATGCGATCTAGACTGTCCGTGCGTGATTCAATCTGGGCCGTCTGCACGCGTACAATCCAGACCGTCCGTGCGCACGTTTGATCTGGGCCGTCCGTGCTCGCGGGAACGGATCTCAGCCATCCGATCGCGCACACGCGGATCGCCCACGTGTCCCGTTCCGTGTGGCCTTCCCGCGTCAGTGTCTCTGCCACGCGGCCTGTCCTGGTTGGCCGGAGCTGCTGACCGGCTGCTGACGTGGTGTAATATTTTTAAATTGCGTTTTGACCCCTGGTTTTCGATTTTCTTTTCAAAAATACCCCCAGAATCCAAATTTTCACCCTTTTTTTTCAAAATCATTTTCAATTAAATCCAAAAAATAATTTTACCCATTTTTATCATTATTATTATTTTTATTTCTATTAAATTAAATTAAAATTATATAATTATTACCTAATAAATTAATTATTAAAATCAAATCAAATCAAAATAATTCTAATAATAATAAAAATAAACAACACGTGAACCCTTTTCTTTAACATTCTTAATTATGGGCCGTCCTCATACCCCGTCAGGTATGAGCGCCAAATTATTAAATCTCGATACCCCGTGCGGGTATGAGGGTGAAACGGGTCGTCCCCATACTCTGTCTGATATGAATGTCAAATTACTAAGTCTCGATACCTCGTCCGATATGAGACATCGTTTACGTAGGGTCTCTATTGTACCCGGTCATCCACCATCTCCAGGATATTCAGTAGGGCTGTCGTTTTATCCA